AGTTGTAAAGGAGAATATACATGATATGAACTTGGTCTCATACGTATCAATGATCCAGCATGTAAGATTGCATGACCCCAAACAGACACAGGAAGTTCGGTCCTCATTATCAATGGTCTAGCTACTAGTTGGAGACGTTTAATCAGTGATTCAAGTAAACCATTTTGTGTATGTACATGAGATATTGGATGCTCAACAACAATTCCTACAGACATACAATATTCATTAAATGCTTGTGAAGTAAATTCACCAGCATTATCAAGTCTCACTCTTTTGATAGTATAATCAGGGAAATATGCCCTTTATTTAATAATTTGGGCAATAAACTTTGCAAATGCCATACTACGAGTTGATAATAGGAAAACATGAGACCATTTGTTGGATGCATCTATTAAGACCATAAAGTATCTAAATGGTCCAGATGGTGGGTGAATCGGTCCACATATATCACCTTGAATTCTTTCTAGAAATCTAGGTGACTCCCTTTCAACTTTCATTGGAGAATGTTTTATAATTAACTTTCCAAGGGAACAAGATGCATATGGTTTTATGCTGTTGGATTTAGGGAACTTTTGGTCCTTCAATGGATGCACATTCATATTTTTAATTATTCTTCGCATCATTGTTAATCCTGGGTGGCCCAACCTATCATGCCATAAACTGAATGTCCCAGGATCACAATGTTTTCCTTTGATTACCATATTTGATTTAATCATATGTATATATGTATAATGCATACCAGAATCAAGTGTTGGTAGTTTTTCAAGCACATGTTTTTTTGTCTATAATATACATCTATTTCTTATTTTCAATGGTCACAGTTTTTATGTCATATCCTTTGCAATATATGTCATTGAAACTTAGTAAGTTTCTATTAGACTTTGGAGAAAATAAGGCATTTTCTATACAAAAACTTGTACCATTTGGTAATATAAAATGGGCTTTCCCAATTCTCTCTATCAAGTCTGCAGGACTTGATATTGTATGTATGACTGGTTTTGTTGGTACTAATTTTGAAAAATATTTCTTTGATTTCAGAATAGTATGCGTACTACCACTATCTGCTATACAAATATATCCAACCTTTTCTTGGTGTTGTGCTCCAGTTGGACTCATATTAAACTTCACATATGAAAGGAATAATAAGTGAATAAACATAATCATAACTATTATTAAAAAGAAAGTTCATTTATTGTAGGAAAGACATTACATGAAAAACAAACGAGCAAAGAAAAAAAACAGTTTTACTAGAACAATAATAGAAATTTATTAGTTTATGTCTTCCATGTCATTGCAGAAATCAACAACATTTAGCGGGGTAAATTCAACATTATCAATGAGGTTTGCTTCTTTTCCTTTTCCTTTATTGGACTCTTGATAAAGTTGACAAAGATGTGCAGGTGTGCGACAGGTCCTTGACCAATGGACTATGCTACCACATCTATAACATGAACCATCAGATTTTTGTGATGTCCCAGTATCATGCCTTGACACTTTGGCCTTATCTTGTGTATGGACATTATTTCTTTGTTTGTAATTATTCCTTTTCTGGCCACGACCACGATTATTACCTTTTCCACGACCATAATTATGGTTCAGATTATGGCTTTGGTTTCAATTAAAATAACCATGGCCTCATCCTCGACCACGACCACGCCCTCGTCCACGTGTATTGTTTCGATGACTATTAGTATTTGTAGCATTTGCTTCAGGAAGTGCTACTGATCCCGTTGGATGAGATTCGTGGTTTTTTCATCAAGAGCTCATTGTTTTGCTCTGCAACAAGCAGGCATGCATTCAATTCAGAATATCTTGTGAACTTTTGCATCCGATATTGTTGCATCAAGGTAATGTTTGTCGCATGAAATGTGGAGTAAATTTTCTCCAACATATCTTCACCAGTAACTTCTTGTCCACAATACTTGAGTTGTGAACATATTCTGAACAAAGTTGAGTTGTATTCATTTACTTTCTTGAAGTCTTGAAACCTCAGTGTTCTCCATTCATCTCTAGCATTTGGAAGTATAACTTCCTTTTGATGATCAAATCTTTTTGTCAAAAGATTCCAGAGAATACTTGGATCAGCAACATCAAGATATTCAAATCTCAACATTTCATCAATATGATTATGAAGGAAAACTTGTGCCTTTGCTTTGTCTTGTGCCAAGCAATTATTAAATTCATATATAGCATTTGAGATTCCCATGGATTCAAGATGCATTTTCACATCTATCATCCATGACACATAGTTTTTCCCACTAACTTCAAGTGCTGCAAACTCGAGCTTTGCAATGTTGGACATACTGTAGCTATAAATTTTAAACAAAATTAAAATTAAAATTAAAATCCATTTATTTCAATAAATATTACACAAAAAAAAGCGGTAAAGCTAACATTGCATACAAGTCTAAAAGTAGAGGAAACTTCATATTATCTTCAATGTTAAGAATTGGGATGCAAAGTAAAATGACTATTGTAGTCATAATTATCACAAGCGGATGAATCATCTTAAAGCTTGATTTCTTGAAATTGATTTGTTTGATAGAAGAGAGAAATAGTTGTTGTGGGTAAAGTAAGCAAGGTAAAGATGTTTATTTATAGTAAAAAATATATCCATTGTTTTTGCTGTCTATAACCGTTGTGTGTGTGTGTGTATATATATATATATATATATATATATATATATATATATATATATATATATATATCCGTTGTGTATATTTATAAATCATTTAATAAGATTTATAACTAATACATAACTTTACTTGGTATAATTTTACTAATTAGAAACATAAATAAATATTATTACATGTTTAAATAAAATTATGAAGAGTATCTAAAAATATGAATAAACATTGACATGTATAAATAAATGTTAGTATATATAAATAAAATTGCATAATTTAAATGTTAGTATGCATAAATAAAAGTTAGCTACATAATGTAAATGTTAGTATGCATAAATAAAAGTTAGTTGTATAATGTAAATGTTAGTATGCATAAAAATTAGAATACATAAAGAAATGTTAGTATAAGAAATAAAAATTGTTAGTAGTTTATAATGTCCATAATGTATAAGTTTTTTTAATTCATTAGTATTATTATTACTTTAATATGACGGAGGTTTTATAATTAATAATGTTTTTACTAAGTAATACATACCTTGATTAAGATAGATGTGATTTCCACTTCTAAATAACCTTGATTTAAGCTTTCGTGTTGATAACGTGTTATAAATTCAACATGATTAAGATAATTCAAACCAAACAAAACTAATAACATAGATAAAGAAATTTGATGGAGAAGAGAATATTTAGAAGGGATATGAGATTTTATATCTTATCAAATTGTATCGTCATATCTTTGCAATAGCATGTTATTTATACTGCAAAAATTACATATCATATGTCATGTAAATAGTATGATATGATAGCTTTCACCAATTAACAAATTATTGATGTCATTCACAATTATTTACAACAATATATATATATATATATATATATATATATATATATATGTCATTATAATATAAATTCGTCTCTCTCTCTCTCTCTCTATATATATATATATATATATATATATATATATAGACACACAACCAAAACAAATGTCTTGACATCTACATAGGCAAAGTTGTGGATCTTCAAGAGAACCAAGAATTTTTGGTATATTTGAAGTGTAATTACAATAATAAATCTATATGTTGCCTTCAGGTAAACCGGTTTGAATTTTGCTGAGTGGGCCATTTACTTATCTGGCATCTACGTAAGATCCTACATGGAAGTTGAGCCTTTATAAATGAACCTTAACGGCTTCAACCCTTTAGAACCCTAGATCGATCTTCACTTTTTCATCTCAGTTCTTCACGAGGATTGTGCAATGGTGTCTTCGTCTCGATCAGCTGGATCAACGAGTGGGGTAAACAAGTCAAACAATGGTCCCTCTAGGACGTGCTACTGTGGAGTAATTGCCCCCTTGAAGATATCAACGAGTGAGAAGAATCCTGGAAGAAGATACTTTTGGTGCAGGTACTGGCCCGATGAAGTTGAAGACTGTGGCTACTTGGAATGGTATGACGGTGAAGTAAGTCCATGGTACAAGGAACTTCTGTTTGAAGTTATGGCAAAGAAGAAAAAAAGCATTAGACATGGAAAAGGGAACCCTCATCATGGTGAAATAAGTTTGATGGATCTTGTCAGGGTTGTGATTGGTTTGCTTGTTATTTTAGTAGTCATGGTAGGGATTTTGATGTGGATGGTGTACAAGGGTTAAGTAGGAAGAGGTTGTGGTAGGTCTTTAAGTATGAATTAATGCCGATTAAGGTCCAATGCTGACCATTTTTTGTGTATGTATGTATTGATGTACTACCTTTAAGTTTGTATGTTCCAATGTTGACCAATATTGATATATATGGTGAAGTGTATATGTTTGTGATTGTGAATTGGAAGTCTGATGCTATATGTTGGTAGTGGACCAAATAACCCTTTACTTATTGAAAAAACCAGTAACCAAAAAAGAAAGGACCGAAATACCCTTACCTTATGAAACAATTTGGATTATAAAAGATAAAAATGATTGACCATAAACACTATAACAACATTACACATATATAAACCAAAATGCTATGAAAAATACCAAAAAATAACCAAGTGAATTAGAAGTCGGATGTTATATGTTGGTAGTGGACCAAACTACCCTTTACTTATTGAAAAAACCAGTAACTAAAAAAGAAAAGGACCTAAATAACCTTACCTTATGAAACAATTTGGATTATAAAAGATAAAAATAATTGACCATAAACACTATACCAACATTACACATATACAAAATAATATGCAATATTTACCCATCCCATTTACAAAAGGGGTAGTAATGTTTGGGTATATCATATACAAAAGATAATTATAGTCAACGGGGTTACTTAAGGGTCCATTACTTAATACAAAAAAGGATAACATAAAACATGTCCATCAACACCTAACCTTCTGCACCCTAATCTACTCCAAAGAAACAGGGTCCAACCTACTTCGACCTGGTCCAACAACCTTCTTTCCAACAGCCTTCATTCCAGTCTGAATTTTAGTAATTCTCTCTGAAGGCCTCCTTGTTCTCATCAACCTTTGGGATGGTGGTGTCTCAGCAATGCCTTCTTCAACCTCTGGAACTTCTTCATGCATAGTTTCAAGAACAGGTGGAACTTCAGCCAAAATTTCAACATCTAAATGTTGTTCATATAGTACACGATACACCTCATCCTCTGAGTATCCTGATGCAAGCAACTCTCTAGCATGTTCATCCCCCTTCAAATCATGTACCATCATAACATCTTGCAGCCCTTCATCTATCCCTTTAACAGATTGAGATGCCTTTGCTTTACCCTGTTAATAAAACAGTAATTGTGTTAACAATAGTAGACACTAAAGATTTGATAAAAATAGTAAACCTTACCTTTTTTTACTATTACACCTTGCCTGTCCATCCATTTCCTGAATGTATTGACTATTTTGACTCTTTTGACTTGTGGATGCTGTTGTTTTTTCATTGCCACATCCCTAGTCACTGGCCTACCCTTTCTTTTCTTTTCCTTTGTAGGTTGGGGCTTAGTTGGATTCTTGTAGGTTCTTTTGTTATGCCCTTCCTCCCAACAGTTCTCGCGTATCTTTGTACCTCCAACAGACTTTATCTTCCTGTACTCTCCATCCTTCTCTGTCTCTTTGACATGTTTCCTTCTTCTGGTTTTAGGTCTTCATGGCATCCTCCTTGCAGGTGGTGGCAGTGGCTTGGCATATGGTGTCTTGGCCCACATTTTACTACCATTTAGAGGCCTGATATTGCCTTTGTAAGTCTCTGCAAACTTCTCTTTGGAAAACCATGAACTGATCAGTGTTTTAGGTTGTTGTTGTGTGTGGTTCATAGCTACACATGCATGGATACATGGAATCCCAGATATTTTCCATAATCTACAAGTGCAAAAGTGTTCTCCTAAGTCCACCTAAAAAGACTCAAATCCTAGTCTCACTTCAAATACATTTGTGTCACTAGCTACAACACTCCACAACCTGTAATCATGCAATACATGTTAGTGAATAATCTTACTGAATATTGAATAATGTTAGTCAATAATGTTACCTCATATTTTACACCAGTCATCCAGCTTTGTCAATATTGTAGGGCATACATCTCTCCTCCATGTTAAGTGTATTGTAGACATCCAATAAAACCTCTCCATAACATACATTCTGAGCTCCTCCAACATAGTAAGAAGTGGATATACCTGGTTGTTCCCATCCCTACCTATTGCAGTTAGTAACTCTCCTTTGCATTGCCCTTTTAGAAAACAACCATCTAGTCCAATGACTCTCCTGCAACCCCTAATCCACCCATCCTTTACAGCCTTAAAACATACATAGAATCTTTTAAAAACACTGCTACCATCTTATGGGTTTTTGAGCAAAACATCATTCCTATGGTGTACATGCAAACCCTAATAGCTTTTGGATCTAGTTTGTCTAATGAACATGCAATTGAATATCCAAAGCTATAAACCCTAGATCTAGCATACAATTAATCATATTAACATAAGAATGGGGTTTAGATCTTACCTTGATTGTTATGTGGCAATAACAATCTCAAATGCTCCTTGTAATGGCTTTAGAAAGCTTAGAGTCACAAGTGTCACTCCTCTAATGGCTCACAAACACCAAGAGCAAGAGGATGAAGAATGATAAGAGAGGAGGCACCCAAAAACATGTAGAAACCCTAAGGAATTAGTTGGCCACGTTTTTGGTGCCCTAGGGGTCCTTAAATAGTGAGGCTATTAGGGTTATCTAACAAGGAAACCCTAATTTGACTGCTTAGGCCCTAAGCAACCCATGGACTCCCTCCTTAGAGGCCTTGGACGATTTCTAATGGGTTTCCCCATAGAATTCGTCCACTCCATCCTCTATGGAGTCCATTAGCTCAATATTCAACTATCACACAATTGACAGTTCTAGTCCCCTTTATTAAATTAATCTCTTTTAGCCACAAAATTAATTCTTATTAATTCTTGACTAATATTAATTAAACAATATGATTTCTCCTTTAATATATTATTCTCATAATATATTAATAAATCATAATTACTCCTCTCTTTCCATAATTCATCCTATCAAGTTGCTTTGATGAAGGCAACCCAAAAGGACCATGCACCATCGGGTCAAGTACATACCAAAATAGTTATGGACTTAGACACTAATCCAACAGTCTCCCACTTGGATAAGTCTAATAACTATTCTGCGTATGACTTCAGATCCTGATCTGCAATCGTAGCTTTCAAAAACCGCTGTTAACTCTAATCCTATCAGAAGCGTGTCCTTTAGATAAGGGATCATATATTCCTCCATTCTAGATATCGTATAGACTAAAGACATGGATTTAAATCATTCTCTCTATACTGTTTTCTCGATTTCCGATTTATGACGACTGACAACAGACTACAATTGAACACATCAAATTAGTCCCGGCTTGGCCAAGCGCTTAGGTGCCATCACTAAATCATCGAGGGGCCCACAAATATCGCTTTCATCCCACTTTGGATAAAAGGAACGGATAAACTTTGATTCAATGCTTGCTTGCACTCACTCACCGAATCACACACAACAATATGTTTTATGACACCAAGTTACTGGTGCGTTTACATATTATCAATGTGTAACCGACTCGCAAGATATAACTCACACATCTCGGTTTCAAGAATATAAGATATTATCGTCTCACCAATCACTCGTGATAAAATCCATGAAGTGATCCAAGTGACCGTGGGTTTAATCCAATGCTCAAATCATATTCATAAGCACTCATGAACGTTGCAGCAAACATTTGCTTATGTCTAATACACTTTAGACAATCCACACACCAATTCACGACAGTCTTCATTCATACCTACTTTCAACATATGAACGACTGTGGTCCGTTCGAATAATTTGATTGTTCTGAACCAATTTAATTATTCAGGAAGTCAAAACATGCAAAGTGAAACACAAGAATAATACTAATCCCATATGGCCCCAACTCTGGGTATAAATAAAAACATTTTATTTAATCACCATATTGATTACTCATTATTTGTTGTTTCGCGTAATCAACTTTTACTTGAATTATTACTACACTTGTCCCATGCTCTCAGCATGCACATAATGTTTACCTACGGTCCTTACTTTGTGAAATAGATCAAATGAACACATTTCCAATCATACTCATTTCACAACTCCCAATCCTTATCATAAGTATAAGAATATCAAATTCTTGTTACTTATGCTAGATTCTAACATTTTATGCAATGATTCTTTCGTAAAGTCATAGCTCAAAATCATCAAGACTTGGCCAATCTCTATCAGAAACAATTCTATAGATATGATGTCTCTCACTCAAAGTACATTCCTTTGAACATCCTTTTTGCATAAAAGTTTCTAATATAGATTCTCAATATCCAACTCCCAATATGGAAACATTTCCATATTTGCCATATGACAATTCATTCTTAATAGAATCTTATCTATTCATAATAATGTCATCCAATACCATACAATCCTCAGCGAGCTTTGGATCGTCCTTTGATAGTTGTTTAATTATTTTAGTCAAAACCGATTCTAGTCCTTTTTCCCTCTAAATGCGCTAGACATTTGGAAAATATTATAATGGTCAAATATAATAGCACTGGCAATCAATCCTATACCCGAAGCGTATGGGACACGATGCATAATGTCTTACATAAAGATATGATACTTTATCAATCTTCTGCCATAATATTTTATGTGTCTCGTTCTTACAATTCGAACGATGAAGAGGGATACCGTAATCATAATCGAAATTTAAGAACACACTATGTATCCTTTGACTAAATTTATTAAAATTTCTCAATCTAAGCTTTAGATTTTGAAACGAAATACAATATTCTCTCCCTTAATTATAGCAAAACAACTTTTCAACCCTTACGACTTTGCAAAGTATAACTCTTGTTTTCTATAATTAATATTGCTAACTTGCAATACTTGCCTTAATAATCATACAAGCACAACATTTATGCTCCCATTATCATGATGATTATCATATAAGCATAACACTTATGCTCCCACTAGCTTTGACATGTATTCAGAAAACATATGAACTTCCAGAAAACAATGCTTATTGAATTTCTTAAGTTCAAATTTCTAATACCTAATGCTTTGATAATCCTTTATCTAAGCTTCTTAAACTTATACACCTTTGCCTTAGATAGCTCATATGTGTGTCTAAACAATTCAGACTAATTGCCAAATCTCACAATTCGAATTATGGAAAGGGATACCGTTACCATAATCGAATCCGAGAATACAATTTTCACAATCACTATCTTCTTAAAATCTCTCTTAGTGAAAGCATTTCCTCACAGTCATTTTCATAAAGGAGGGAATCTTATGACACTTAGATTTTAATGGTGTATGTGTTCCTATCCATGCGAATTTGTCAAAACCAAAGTTTGCGACAAATCCAAACTCATATGGACTGAACTTTCTCAATCTTGATTTCTTGCCTTATGGTAACACGAGTACCCACCATGTCTTCCAAGTAGTTAAGCAGCTCACCCTTTCCTATCAATGTACTTTTCATTGATCAAGGTGCTTGTCTTTTATGTGTTCAAATGAGAACTCATAGAACTCACATGCATAATTAACTCAATTGGAATGGCACATAAACAAAATAATGTCAACACGATAGGTTGTAAACCTCAAGTCGTGTGCTAGTGATGATCGATAAGGTTTATTCTTGATTAGTTCTGGAAACTTTTCAAGACCATTAAGACTCCCACTGACTCCTTAACATATAAGATTCTTTTTTCAATAAACATTTCTCGACAAATAAATATTCAAGAGTTAGTGTAGCTTTTATCAAAACACTTCACAAAATTGGTCCTAGTTGGTCTTTGTCTTATCCAAGACATCACAACTTTCCAATTTCAAATGTGCAAGAATAAGAAAACCTTTCAAATTCCACATTTGATGAATGTTATAAACCTTCTTAAGACTTGTCACTCAATTCACAATCTTAACTCTAAGACTTGATATTGAAACGAAGTATGATTGACTTCTTGATTTAACCATTTCTTCAATTCTTGATTCCTCTTCTCAGACATACAATTTCACTAAGACTCACTTAGAGGATCAATTGATATATGGTTCTTAATCATTAAGACCTATCATAAAACATAATAAAAGGTACTCTCCCTTCTTCTTAGAATAGAGAAACTTTTATCTTTCTGCCTACTTGATTCTTCTTTATTCGTTCTGCTATTTATTGAAACTCTCTCAATCAATTGAGAATTACACTTAATCTCATAATTATAATCATATTTACTTAACCTTAGTAAATCATGACGAATATCTTTGTTACTCTTGTGGTGGACTTGATCAACACACAACCTTGTGTACTCGATCTCCTAGTCCTTCACTTGACACTTTGTAAACGAATTAGTCTAATTTCCAAATATGAAATTTCTCATTCATCATGCAACCAAGTTGTATGATTCCAAGTTTCTGTCCAATTGAAACTTGGGCGATGAGAAGCTTTCCCTATTTGGTAAATTCTTGACCTTTCCACAAATAACATAATTAAGAATCAAATCCATTATTGCTAATAATAGAAACTTACAAACATCAATTTTTCATACACGCCATTGCAAGGATAAATAAATAATATAAAATCAAAATTTATTTTATTGCGGAAAAATTTGTCCTTACAATGCAATTCAACTGAAAAACTATGTTGTTACATATTCCTAAGCAATCTATTCTAACTCCAAGTAGTAGCTTAAGAATCTAATCTTCAAGCAATGCGATCAAAATCCATTTCTTCACGATTAGATTCAGCTCACTTCTTCCCTTAGGCTTCCTTTCTTTTCTTTGATCCTACAAAACATCAAAATGTAATCTTATCACATCATGTATAAAGAATCTAGAATAGGAACTTAAAAGAGTTAGTTAATGGATTTTACCTAAAGCAGAGCCATACGTTTTGACTCTCCCATCTCTTAGATCTCTTAGGTAAATAGGGCAGCTTCGTCTCCAATGCCCCTTCTCTTGGTAATAAAAGCAAATTGACTATTTTGGAACAACACACAGAACTAATTCTGACTTTGCCTTTTCTGGATCTCCAATGTCACTATTTTCAATGTCCATTGAAGTTTGGGAGTTTGATTCACCAGACAAATTTGCTTGACCAGCTCGCCAAATCATTGCTGATTCAGCAGCTATAAGCATATAGGTCAAATCAATGAGGGTCACGTCATGATCCATCATTTAGTACTCTCTAACGAACTCACTATATGATTCAGGAAGCGACTGAAGAACCCAGTCAACAGCCAATTTACCTGAAAACTCGACACCCAACATCCTTAACCTATCAATGTGTGACTTTATCTCTAAGACGTATACACACAGGTTTTCCATGTTTACTTGCCAAAAGGGCTTGAGTGAGCTTGAACTTTTCAAGCCATCGAACTTGTGGGTTAGGGAGAATAATTGGAGGAGGTGGAGGAAGTGAAGCATGATCTCTTGTTCACCGATCGAAACGTGGAATATCATCTTCATGTGGAAAGTTTGTTCCACGGGATTTGGGAGGACCATAGTTGTCATACTTTGACATCTACAAAACGGGAGAAAATTCAAGTCAAGTTGATTAGGATCCTCGATGTGACACCCAAATGAAACATCGAGGCTAGGATCCAACACAACACTCTACAACCTAGAAGAGGGATGCCGTAATCCAGTTGCAGAATATTTGAAGGTAGGTAAATGACGATTTACCAATTTCCACCATGAAAACCGAAAAAGAAATTTAAGTTTTAAATCTATTGAAAATTCCTAGATCTTTTGAGATTCATTGAACATTTCAATGGCATGTTTAAATCTCGATATGCCCCTCGATTTGTGACTGGGATGCCGAGGATCACAAAACAGGGTGTGAATAACCATGCAAACTTACATGGTGCCCCCAATGTTACAGTCACCTATTCGATGTGCCGGTTAACCACACACGCTCTACCGAACTATGACAAACAATGAGTCACCCTTTGCTACCTTTGCTTGGAACCATTTAGTGTGCCGGTTAACCACACACGCTCCACTAACGTCTTCGCAAGGGCACAAAGTGTAATTTCAAGGAATTGCATCTATTCACTTTTGCCTAAAGTAACTAAGATTGGGAATTTTGTAAAAGCATTTAGTTACTTTTGTACTTCATTATACTTATAATGGAAGGTTTCTGTCCTATCCTACCCGTTCGGCTAACGACCCTCCACTAGTCAAGAGTGCGGTGAGTAAGAGTGGATACCCATTCAATCGCCATTTTATAGGCAATTTCCTTAAACACCCCTTATAGACTAGCTTCGTGAATGAGGCCTACTAACGGTAAGACTAACTGTTTACTCATACATATATAATACTAGACTTTTAATGTTATATATAGTATAAGGTGTATTTTACACTTTTAAAATACTAGGTGGTCTAATTTAATAAATTATACTTTTAATTTAATTAAATGTAAACCAAAACTTTATGGGTTTATTAAATCTCTTTTAATTATACACTTTAATTAATTAATAAAACCATAAGGGTGTGATTTGAACTTTTCAAAACAATACTAGGGTTTTAGAATTTAACATTTCTAAATTAAACTTTTAATCAACTTTTAAATTCCAAAACTTGAGGGCAAGTTTTGAAACATTTCCAAACATTTAGGGTTTAACTTATTTAAATTTCAAAAACAAAACTTTTAAGTTCAAATTTAAACTATAAAACCTAAAGGGAGTAATTTGAAACTTTTCCAAACTTTATCAAGAATATTCTAGATCACAAAATTCAAATAAGGCAATTAACAATTAATTGGTGGTTATCTAATTTGACCTAGTCCAAATTCTTGCAAGATAATCCATCAAATAACTCAAATAATTAAACATTATCTTATAAGGTAACAAATATTTGATTAATTGGTAATTATCTTCTATTTTGGTAAGGATATTCACCCAAAATCAATAAAAATTGGATTTTATTCATCAAAAACGTTCTTGGTAATAATCCTAAGCCAAAATAGCACAAAATCCCGATTTTCCCTCTTTCTGACCAGCTGACTCGTCGAGTCAGGCATGGACTCGGCGAGTTCACCATGGACTCGGCGAGTTCATCTAAGGACTCGGCGAGTTCATCTAAGGACTCGGCGAGTTCATCTAAGGACTTAGCGAGTTCAGCCCCCAGAAACCCTAAATTTCGAATTTTAAGCAAGGATAATCCATAATAGCATCAAATACATCAAACAAACAGCCATGGCTCTGATACCACTGATGGGTTTTGAGCAAAACATCATTCCTATGGTGTACATGCAAACCCTAATAGCTTTTGGATCTAGTTTGTCTAATGAACATGCAATTGAATATCCAAAGCTATAAACCCTAGATCTAGCATACAATTAATCATATTAACATAAGAATGGGGTTTAGATCTTACCTTGATTGTTATGTGGCAATAACAATCTCAAATCCTCCTTGTAATGGCTTTAGAAAGCTTAGAGTCACAAGTGTCACTCCTCTAATGGCTCACAAACACCAAGAGCAAGAGGATGAAGAATGATAAGAGAGGAGGCACCCAAAAACGTGTAGAAACCCTAAGGAATTAGTTGGCCACGTTTTTGGTGCCCTAGGGGTCCTTAAATAGTGAGGCTATTAGGGTTATCTAACAAGGAAACCCTAATTTGACTGCTTAGGCCCTAAGCAACCCATGGACTCCCTCCTTAGAGGCCTTGGACGATTTCTAATGGGTTTCCCTATAGAATTCGTCCACTCCATCCTCTATGGAGTCCATTAGCTCAATATTCAACTATCACACAATTGACAGTTCTAGTCCCCTTTATTTAATTAATCTCTTTTAGCCACAAAATTAATTCTTATTAATTCTTGACTAATATTAATTAAACAATATGATTTCTCCTTTAATATATTATTCTCATAATATATTAATAAATCATAATTACTCCTCTCTTTCCATAATCCATCCTATCAAGTTGCTTTGATGAAGGCAACCCAAAAGGACCATGCACCATCGGGTCAAGTACATACCAAAATAGTTATGGACTAAGACACTAATCCAACACCATCTTCTTTGATATCAACTCCAACCTTTGTTGTACTACCAGGGTTTGATCTGATGATCTCTCCTCCATATTCCTATATACGACCATAATGCTCTGATAACTTTCCAATTAAGATCTCTTGTGCTTTCTTCTTACCCCTATTGAATTTTCCCTTAGACACAATGCATAAAAATTTCTTCTTAATTTCTTCTTTAATCTCCCTGGCTTTCATTTTTGGTCTAACACACAATTTTCAAGAACTGTTTGGCTATCCAGTCAGGATTAACCAATGTGACATGCTTGTACTCCCTAACACAAGTATGCTTATCATTAAGTCCCTTAATTTGAAATGATTTCTCTTTGTTCATCCAGGATGCCCACGGCTTGAAGGTACATCTCTTGCCTTTATTGTCTAAACCACATTTTGTTTGAAGCCTTATACTAGAAGATTTGGTCACCTTAATTGGATAACCATTGTGAACTGCATAGTTAGTCAGGCAAAACCTTAACTCAGTTTGATTAGCATACTTTTCACCTAAATGTGGTTTCATTTTCTTACAATGATCAGAAGGGTCATGAACACTATATTTGGTTGGTTTTTGATCAACCTCATCCTCGTCATCTTCAATTTCATTATCAGAATGACCTTCTTCTCTAGTGCCTTCATCATCGACATTTTCCCTCTTATTGTAAACAGGAACATTGCATAAATCATAAAGAAAGACATCAAAAGGTACCTTCAACTGTGGAAAAATGGTGGTTCTTCTACATCATAGTCACCCAATTCTTCATCGACAACAAATGCCCTTTCTGATTCACTCTCTGATTCTGACTCTAATTCACTTTCTTCAAAATCAGAGTCGTAATATGGTCCCTTTTCCATTTCATCGGACGGTTGTGCACTCTTTATCTTAGGTCGTGGGTTCCTCATGCATGGTAAGCTTTCACCTTTCTTCGGAGTTACAGATGGTAGAAACCCTAGTTAATGAGGGTAGAAACTTTTTCTCCTTTTGTTGCGTATGATGATAAATGAGGGGGATGACATGTTAAATTAGGGGAAAGGGGGTGACATGGACGATGCCACGAAGACGTATTAGAGGCAGGTAACCGGTTAACCGACTGTAGTAGGTCATATGGTTATATTTAGTAAAAAATTAATAACACGGTGTCAAAATTGACACAAAAAAACACGGTGTCAAAATCGAATTTCTGTGTAAAAAGAGTGTTTTTTTGTGCCATTTACCCTTTTAATTTATACGTAAAATACAACGACGTGGATTTTTTTTATCACTATATGCACCCATGTGGATTTTTTTTATCTATAGTACCAATTAATGAAACAAAATGATTTTCATATCAATCTATAGTAACCATACATATTTTCCCATATTTAATAGTCTGCTTCGTTGAGGCCCATGGTTGAAGACACCTGAATCAGTGGGTTTAAAATAACTTGAGCCACGCACGAAACTGTATAAAATTAACAAGGGAATATTAAAATTAAGAATGATGCATCGATGTGTGAAAGACAGAAGGGATTGCTAGGGTGTTTATTACTTGTTCTTCTTGCTTAGTTGGAAAGTTGGGAGGCAACTTTGTTATTATCAACTACTCTACATCCTATCTCTTTCATTTAACTATGTAATAACTCTTTTAACTGCTATTAGGAAGGGGCTAACTTGCAAGTTTGCATTATTTTTTTATTTTTGTAATTATTATGCTGGAGGGAGTGGTGCCACTGAAACCGCACTCTCTCCCCCACCACATAAGCGTCATGTCATTTTTTACCACACAAGTGTGGTTTCTTGCCACACCAAGGGAGTGGTGCCACATTTTTATTTTTTTTATTTTTATTTTTAACTATTTTAATTTAATAAAACTTATTTTTTAATAAAAAAACATAATTTTAAAAAGATAATATTTCATTAATTAAAAATACAAATACCATACATTACTTAACTTAAAAAAAAACCTAAAAATTGAGAAAAACAAATTAGAAACATAAAACCTACAACTTAAAAAAAAACACACACACACACCAAACGATTAAAAATTTGATAAAAAAAACTAGAAATTGGCCACGATTGATGTAACGTTTTTTTTCACTTCCTCCTTCATTGCCAAAACCACTTTAAGCTTGGCCCCGGTCATATTCGACGTGTCCGTTGCTAGTATTCGCATGTCGCTCTCCTTTTGTTTCCAAAGCTCTCTTTCAGAAGCAATTTGCAAAATCCTGTCCATTCTGTCTTTTATACCCTTCATGTCGGCTCCCATTTCATTCAAATCATCTGAATCTGACGCTTTGCCTTTGCCTTTGCTTTTTGCGCTGTCTCTTCCAATTGGTCGGGAAGGCGGTGAAACTAGAACAGGTTCATCTTCGTTCAGATCAAATTGAACACGAGCATCTGATGTAGTGTGGTCGGACTCAGATGTTCTGCTGCGTTTTGAACCACTGTCCATATGCTCGTCTGCTATTTTGCTACTTTGCCATTTCTTGTTATCTTTCACAAAATTCCAAACCTCAAGAAACTTGAAAGCCTTCAGATTTTCTTTTTGGTACACTTTCAACGCTTTCTTCAAAATCACTTCATCGCTTTCTCCACTTTTCCATTGACGTTTCATGTTGTTCCACAAGTCATTAAACAACATGACTTCCTTGTTCATCTTCCCCCATTTGGAGTACACTTGATGCTTTGAACGGTATTATCTACGGTTCATTCCTTTATGGAACCTGTGTAAAACGCGAATCCAAAAGCGGTCATGCTTTTGGTCTTTTCGAACCGTGGGATCTTCTGAAATATCGACCCAAGATTGTGCCAACACTAACGCTTCCAAAGGTTCCCAACATCTAGCCTCCGTCTTCTCTTTTCTTTTAGTTGCTGCTCGAGTGGGCTGAGTTTCTGTAACGAATTCCGGTTCGGAATCAGAAACGACCGTTTCTGGTTGTGTTTGTGTTTGTTGAACAAACTCGGGTTGAGACAAAAAATCAAATGGATTAAAATCTGGGTCGGGTTGTGGTAGTGGTGGTGTTTGTGGTAGTGGTTGCGCTGGTCGTTGTGGAAAATATGGAAGCATAACCCCGTAATGGTAATACGGAGGTGAGAAAATCGGTTGATCAAATGAAAGTATTGGGGTGTTGGTGTTTATGACTGGTGTTTTTTCTTTGCTAGGCCTTTTAGAAGAATACATTTTTCAAAAAAATTTTGGATGAAAAGATTATGTAAATATTTGTGTAAAGGTGGTGTAAATGGTTAAAATGGTAACACACACACACACACACACACACACACACACACACACACACACATATATATATATATATATATATATATATATATATATATATATGGAGTGAAGGTTTAAAAAAAAATTACACGAATCTTGACCGTTGAACGGTCAAACATGGAAGAAAGCACCAGCCAATCAAATAGCACGGTCCTCTACAGCAGCACTACGGTTTTGGCCGCACGAAACCGCACCCTAGGGGCGGTGTTCACGGTCCACGTGGCTCCACTGCGGTTTGGAACCGCACCCCAGACCGTATAGCCTTATAAGTGTTCAAAATATTATATATACAAATAGTACATAATATGTTTTCTACCACCTGATATAAAAATTTATAAATTTCACACATGTTCCATAGACTTTCTTGGTTGGAATGCCTAAAGATTATAAGGATCACGAGAACAAATATTTTGTATGAATTTCATAGAAAACTATCATCAAGATAAGGAACACCCATGTGAAAAAAATGAATTTTCTCATATGTATGTCAATGTGTTTATGATAATTTATTATATAATATAAAAATAGAACATTTAAAATTAATTTCTATTATTTAGATGAAAAAACATCATAAATGGTCCCTGTGGTTTCCCAAAATCTGAAGTTTAGTCCCCGTGGTTTAAAAACGTCATAGATGGTCCCTGTGCTTTCAAAACTTTTGACGATTGGTCCTTACTGCTAACTCCGTTAAGTTTTGTCCGTTAACTGAAGGGTATTTTCGTCATTTCACAACCACATGGACCATTTATGATGTTTTCTCGTATTTTTTTAAAAAAAGAAAAAAATTAAATATAATTAAATATATAAAAGATCTGTCTCTCTCTCTCTCACATCGTCTTCTTTAATTTTCATCCCATATCAAATTTATTCAAAACCCATCCCAATCAAAACCACCACCCGACAACCAGTAAATTGATTTGCTTTTCTCATTTGTCTATACCTTGAGTAACAGTTTCCAGCGAGGCATTCATGCGTTTTAGATCTACTCCATCACACACCACCCATTTATAATTTGGGTTGTTTTTGCAGGTTTGAAACCCCATCAGGGATTGCAGCGACGATGATCGCTGGTTGTTGTAGCAGTGGTGTTCGTTGGTGGTTACAGTGGTGATTCTGACTAGGCATTCATGGGTTTTTCCCATCTAATTCTAAAGAAGGGAGGGGTGTGGTCTAATTCGACAATAATGAAGGAAGATGCAAGATTCACACACCTTCTTTGTGTTAATGGAGGCAGGGTGGAAGTTCTTTTCCTCAACTGCCCTCATCATCTTCTGCTTTGATTTTGAACCCAGAAACCATTCACAACTACCCCCTTAATCTGAAACATAATCTTAATCTGAATCGATTTTTTATATGAAACATAAATCTAAACCGGATCTGAATCGATTTCTTATCTGAAACGCATGCCTAAACTAGATCTGAATCATAAACGGAAACTACTCCATTCTCCACTATAAAACCCCCTCCAGGGAAGATGTATCCACTTCTGATCTGGCCATCGAACTTGATTTGCATAGCAGGTGTATGTATCAGACTTTCAGAAGGAAGGTGTTGTTATGGCACCTGTTAGAAAAAGATGAAATATGTATGTTTTGCTTAGGATGGTTTTTTAGATGAAGATGAAGATGGAGAGGCTGGAATGATTTTTAGTGGCTAACTCAAGAATAAACCCAGATTTTGTTGTGGTTTTTATTTCAGGGATGTTTTTTAGGCGGGATGCTCTTGGGTGTTTATCACAGATAAACCGAGAGAGAGAGAGAGAGAGAGAGAGAGAGAGAGGGTGGGACCCTTTTATATTAAACAATTATTTTTTTATTTTTTATTTTTTTTAAGTAAGGAAAAATATCATATATGGTCCCTGTGGTAGTGAAATGACGAAAATGCCCTTCAGTTAACGGACAAAACTTAACGGAGTTAGCAGTAAGGACCAATCGTCAAAAGTTTTGAAAGCACAGGGACCATCTATGACGTTTTTAAACCGCGGGGACTAAACTTCAGATTTTGAGAAACCACAGAGACCATTTATGATGTTTTTTCTATTTTGATAGAATGAACCACATATAGTTTGTTAAAAGGGCAATATTGTAAAATTATATGCATTAGGGACATTGTCCCCTCTCTTTCTCACACACAAGGACACCTATGGTGGTTTCCCTAATTACTTGTTTGGGGCACATGCCGTCTAAAAATGATTGGCTAAATTAGAATATCGTAGAGAATATTATCTGTGGCGGAGTGTGGGCCACCACCCCCATTCTTGCAGTGTTTTCACCATTTTTTACTGGTATAAATAACGCAACGGACAAAACCCTTTCTTCCATTCTTTCGATCTTTCTTCTTCACACACAAAACACAGCCATGGCGTATCTTCCTATGTCCGATGAGCAAATCCTGAAAGCTCAACTCGCTGGCGTCGATGAAAACGCTTTAATCACTGCACTGCTTGATTACAAGGAGAAAGCAGACAAGAAGGGAAAAGCAAGCAGCAGTAGCAGCTCTGCAGGGGTCGACTTTTCCGATGACGATTGGGCTAATCTCACCAAAATGGTGAATCGGGTGTCTAATGAGAGCCATCCAACTTCACTAGTGAAGGCAAAATTCCAAGCGGTAAAACGTACCTATGAGACTGGGAAACGGAGTAAAGAG